TCCAGTGTTGTGTGGGAGCCAATGTAGCCCAATCCGCCAACTACCATGATGAAGGAAGAGCTGACACCCTCAATGTCCAAAGGATCCGCTGCCACGTCGTCGTCGAAAAGCACAGAGCTTTGTGTCGCTGGTGTGCTGACCATCTCTGGTGTCGCGGACGGCGACACCGAGAACTGTGAGGAGCATGCAGACATGGCAGGCAACGTGCTTTGCGTGTTGAATGAGTGAATGGGAGCGAAGAGAAGCGAGTGTGGTTGCCGTGTTACTGATCTGCTTCTTGGTATGCTAACCTTAAAATCTTTATATACGCTACCTCAGTCTTAATGGTACTCAGCTTACGTTGAATTAGGCAGAACACGTCAAAGCCAGACTTTTTTGCGCCATCAATATTGTCTACTTTACTTGGCACGACCAGGCCGCTTGATCCCGATTCATGAGTGCCGGAGTCTCCCCAGGTCCAGCTCTCTCGAATATACTCTTGCATCGCTAAAGATCCCTGTCCAATTTGCATCGCCGAATGCGCAATACCCAGCCGTGCCCATGCGGGTTACAATACCACGGCTTCTAGAGTCTGAAATTGCCTTCATCTGGGCTGGAAAGAGCTCGATGGACGCAGTTCCAAGTGTTTCCATCCAGGCGGCTGATGCTGGATTCGCCATCGACACCACCCCTGAAGCGCCTGCAGGGCAGTGGAGATGCTCACCACCCAGCCACGCTGATGAATACTTTTTTGTTGCTACTTTTGAAATACAGGGCCAGATTGGTTTGTTGAGGCTGGGACCGATCCTTTGCAATTGGTTGGGTAGTAAGCCGTGCCTAAGCTAATGCCATGGATGGGTCTAGCTCGGTCATTGTTCCCATCTACGCCTACCCCCCAGCAGGGGGGCATGGAATCCTTTCGACATCATGTTTGAACCCTTCCCGTTCCCTTGGTAGCCGCCCATCTAACCTGTTTAGGGAACTTCTGACCCTCAAGCACAGTTTACCGCAATCGGAAGCCTGCATTGTGGGGCCAGAGAAGATGCATCATAGAATGCAGAGTATTCTACAGCTCTGGAAGCGCTCACTCTGCTCAAAAAACATGTGCATCATCGCTTACGCCGCAACAAAGTGATGCACCAGATTGTTGAGCTCGACGTCGAATGACATCACTTCGTTCTAATTCGGGGCCGAGTGCGACTTGTCACTAGTATTGGGCGGGATATCTGACGATGGGACCTCCCACGCAACAATCATATGATTGCACAGCGCATTTAGAAATTATGTCTCAGGTCCCGAGAGACGGCGCCGGGCTAAAGGAGAGCCGTTCTGGTAAGCTTGCTCTGCAGCATGCGTGTTGCCACACCGAGCATTGCTGAATTAGGCCTTGTTTGAGCATCCTCGTACTCTCTTCTAGTCGAAGAACCAATTTCGTTCATAAATCGAGGTCGGGTTACACGGCGCAGCTTGCAATTCGCCTGCTTCCCAGCAGTTGCATAAGCGCGAGGCTGATATGCAACTTCAGTTCATGATCCGGCCATTCCATCACAGTCTAGACGTCTCGACGGGTCCTTTCCAAGCAGTCCGGAGTCACGTCTTTGTCCGAGGGCGCTTCCTGACGGCGATTCTCAGAGGACAAAAACCGGAGATAAAAAGTTCAGTACGATTGCCAAAGCCAGAGCGATGCCCATTTATGCGATTCGGAGTTCCCCGTTGCTACCATTATAGGGAAACCCGCTGCTGGGCTAGTTCTGCGTCTTGTTCGCAGGAGATGACTCACTGTTAGCTCCGATTACTACAGTCTGACAGCATTTTTGCCCATGTCCATCGATTGCCTTAACGCCTGGTTGAGCTGAGCAGGGTAGGTTAGGATCTAGACAGCCTTGCAGGAGCAGCCAAGAGGTACACACATGGAAAGCTAGAGTTTTTGCAGCAAGGCTACATTTCCTTGTCGCCTCGAGTACACCCACGTGTAAGTGAAACCTCGGTCCGTAGGATCAATTTAGGTGCGTCGGCCGGCGGCTAAGGTCTTGGTCTTCACACTTTGAGCTGTGGTGGAAATAAGAAACCACTTGACCAATCGTGATTACTTTGTCGTCGTACCCCACTAAGGAGCTGATGCAGACCAGGGAGTCGCCAGAGTATCTGCTCGCCATCTAGACAGGTATTGCATCACACAAGACGGACCGCTCGGCCGTCGGGTGATTACTTCCAAAGACGACTCTAACTAGTCAGTCGGGAAGCTGACTCCAAACCAGTAAAGATTTTCACGCAGCATACTCTTAACTATTATGACCCACGGGGGTCAAGCAGCCCCAGTGTCACACTAACATTGGATGTGCTCAGTGGCCATAGGCGGCAGATCTGACAGTCAGCTAATCCCAGGCCACTTGCTGTTCTTAGCCAAATTGTTAACCCTTAGCCTACGCGCTAAACATGCGCCAACACTCTATTCCAACTTTGATCTCATCTCCGTACGGAAATTTTACAGCCTCGTTCTATATCGGTTCGCATCTATGAATTTTTCCACACAAGGGTTCGCTACCGGAAGTTCAGTACAGTTCACACCCCATGCCTTTCCCCGGCAGAATACCGTAGCTTCCTTGCGTTTTCCCGGAAGCTTGAATGCCGGCGGCTCTGCGTAGCCTTGCTTGGCTGATGCAGGATATGAGTGTCCAAACTACCGATTTGATGCCGAGCTGAGTACCAGGTTACCAATTTTTTTGTTTCTGAAGGATTTCAATAGCTTCTTGCGCCAGTCTCGGTTTAGGTCCTGGCCTTGAGCAATTGACAACGCAAGCGAGCAGCCGGCTTACGTATGACGTCTACACTGGACGAGACCATTGGGTAGAGACAGGTGGGCGATGCGTTGTGCGTGGGAATGACAGCTTCCCGAAGGCTAGTCGTAGTGCCCGTTCACCTAAGCGGGCGAGCTAAGTACTCGGCACAACGGGGAGCGCTCCCCTTGTCAATATTGGCTAGCTCTTTTGCAACATGAAGCCGAAGTTACATTTAGATGACGCCCTCTATAGACACATTCACCTTGGATGACGGGAGCCATTGCAAGGCGCTCGCTAGGGCCTGCCGATCCTCCTCTCCTTCACACCATTATGATCGCACCATGATCTATATGTGCTAATTTTGTATGTGCTTAGTGCGAATCGCTGGTTTTGCCTCCCAGGTTCAGGCGTTGAGAAGAACACGAACAGGGGCCCGATCTTTGCCCCGCACCAATCCCTGTCAGCCACAGCTGCTCGTATGGGGCATCCGGAATAGTGGATCGGCCGCCCTGTAGTATGTCGTGTTCAAGCAGGCTTTGAGTGGAGGGCCGTATGCCTGGACCCATTGGCCTGCAAAAAAAATAAATCGGTAAAGAGACTTGGTGTTTCGATTCCTGAATGGATACTCGGGTCTAGAAGGCGTACTTCCTGCATGAAAATACGAGTGAGGCTTTGTGAATTCGACGGCGCCTCGACTCGTTACCAGTAGCCAGCACCGACCCTGGGCGCCTTGCACAATGGAAGCTTTCCACACATCAGTGCTGCAGGCCTTGCTCACTAGCCATCACCCCCTCACCTCTTTTCCAAAAGCGAGCATGGGTGGGAGGCATGTGCTGAACGATTGGACGAGGGTTTACTTCCCTGTAATCAAGGTTTGGACACTGCCATTAATCCCCTAAATATAGAGGATCATGTTCATATGAGGCCGCGTGGCGTCGTCTCAGATACAAATCCCATGTACCTGTCAAGACCAATATCCGTATATAGTCTTGAGTGCCGACCGCAGCTACCGCCAGGTTTCTGGCCGGTGTAGACAAGTTGCTAGACCGGATATTGTAGCCACATTCAACCGGTCGGCAGATATCCCTTGGCGCGTAGGAACCCTCAACTTCCCTGCGGCTTGTTTACGTGCATCGCTGCAAAATTGCAGCATGGCATGTATACATGATCCGTGGCTGATTCCACCAGTGGGATGATCGGCACACAGCACATGCCACCCATGTCACAGGCGCTTGTTTGCTCCTGAGTATACTGTGTAATAACAAATCTGTAGAGAAATATCGGATGAGCATGGATTCCCCGGATCGCGGCCGCAAGCCTACAGTAGAGCCCAGGGGGTGAATCGATCCTCTAGTCTCGCAGTGGAGACTGTTTGAATAGTGCGCATCGATCCACAGCTGCTGTGAAACATCGCATAGGTATTTTTTTTTCTCTCTCGGTTCTTCTTAGACACGGACACGCATTCGACGTACTACATACAGTGCATACGCGCCGGCCGGACGAGAGTGGTGGCGCGATTCTCGGCCTTGCCTTCCGGACTGTTGTACTTTGTACGCACGTACGAACACCCAAGACCGCGGCGGTCCAGCATCGAGACCGTGCTAGACTCGCTGGGCCCTCTTCGGTTCGGGGAGAAAGCAGCAGCGCATCGACGCCGTGGGACTTTGAAGATGCACAAAACACGCAACTTTCGGAGACTAGACTTCGTATGTCACATACACTAGTTAAGAGAGAGAGCGAGCTGAAAAGAATACGGCCCGCCTTGAAAGCGCCGAGAGAAGCACGCCATGCGGGAGATGATGCAACGATATGGTGAAGGGGAGATGGGGAGTCGGTAGAGGCGGCTGGGTAGTGTGCACAGAAGCAAAAAAATAAGTGTATGTTGGTTGCAGCACCCAGTGATTCGTCGGGATGTGGAGGAAGTGATGACGCAGAAGCATTATCGCTACGCGACTCATTGAACAATAACCCATTTTTATGTAACTGTGATAATGTAGTGTACAAAGAAGCAAAAAGTGTTTGGAACCGACCTGGAGAATTGCATCCGAGGCAAGCAAAGTGGGAGGCTTACGAGGGGAATAGCGCGAGTCGAGAAAAGCAAACAAAAGCTACGATGGAAGAAGGAAGTTTTCTCAGGGTCGCCAAGGAGATTACTAAGAAGTTACGAGGTGGAGTATAGTCCGATGGTGATGGGAGTTCTTCTCTTAGTGTATACAACCTTACTCCAGTGTTCAAAGTTTGGTACCGCATATGTTAAAAATAGTAAGTGACACTAAGAGAGAGAGAGAGACTAGCATAGTAAGTAGTAAAACACGGAAGACACCACACACACACATACATACACACATCGAGAGACCGATCGTCGATGACGGCGACAAGCCAGACGAAGACGAAGAAAGAAAATGAAGGCATCATCCCAGTTTACAAGTACATACATTACGTTTTTTAGCTCAGTTCGCATTATTACTCCGCCCGCCACCCACGGCCTCATTCACATCGGTAACATTGACACTGCCATCACAATACTCGACCCACCCATCGAGCTCCATCTTCTTTAGCACAGTGCTAAACTTGTCGCTGCCCTCGCCCTTTCCACTCTTAGCACAGTAGTTGCTGAGCACATTCTCGCGCAATCCCTGCTCCGCACCCGCGCCATCCGGATACTCGATGTGGAACACGGGTTTCCCCGCATCGACAAAGGGGGCGAATTTGGCACACTCGCCGTACTTGACGCATTCTTCGTTGACGGAGAAGTGGACAATGGGGAGCACGGTGGTGACGATGTCGCCGGCGTTTTTGAGGCCGAGGGCGAGGTTGAGCGGCGCCGTGATGTTGGACAGGTATTGCATGAAGTCGACAGAGTCGGCGGACGTGAGGCCGAGACCGTTGTCGTTTTGCTATTTTGCGTTTTTCGTATTAGCCCACCAGCTCCTCATCAGCTCTTATCATCCCCATTTTTTTTCTCTCCCCCCCCCCCCCCCCCCCAAAAAAAAACTCCATATTCTCTGCTGTACTACTACTGCAAAGAAATGGTTGGTGTAAGATAGAGGAAGGAAACTCACATAAGCATCCACATTATCAGGATCCACACCATCACACCCTTTGTCTTTGGCCAACTGTACTCTCGTCTTCATAATAGCCCGCACATTCTCGCTCTTGAGATCAATCCATTTTTCACCCGGCCAACCATCGAGCGGTTTGCCTAGATCGGCATCTTTAAAGTCCTTGGCGTCGGTGCGCCAGTTCTCGTAGCTGCCGGCGCTGAAGTAGCAGAGCACACGTATTCCCTGGGCGCGCAGCGTGTCGATTGTGGATTTGGGCGTGTCGAAGAGGTCGATGTCGTAGACGCTGACGTTGGGGGTTAGGGCGGTGGTGGAGGAGACGTCGGGTGGGTGCGAGAGGATGATTTGCCAGGTTGAGGCCACCGAGGGGGTCCAGGGGAGGGTGTTGTTGGGGCTTGGGAGAGGTGTGCTGCCGCCGTTGTTGTTGTTGTTGTTGTCGTCGTCGTCGTCGTCGCCGCCGGAGTTGAGGCCTAGTCCTAGTCCCAGACCGAGCGCGAGGGCGAGGACAATGACGATGACGAGGGGGAGCACGATGCAGAGGATCTTGCGGCGGCGCGACCGCGTTTGCGCTGTGGGTTTGACGTCCATGATTATTTTCTCTGTTTCCTTCTTCGTCTCTGGATTGTTTGCTTTGTTTCTTCTACTCGAATGGGGGACTACAGAGTTGTAGTATTCCGTTGGTCACGCTTTAGCCGAGACCCTTTTAGGCGCCCCGGGGGCTCAGCGTATAGCAAAGAAGAGAGTTTGCAAGGGGGGGCAGCGCGTATAGAAAATGGAATGTGTTGTCACGATGGAAGGAGACACAGCCAACTAAGTTGTTTTTATTGAAGTTGGCCCGTAAGCCCAATAGTAACAACCCGCTATACGAAACGGCCTCCGTTCAGCTCTTCAAATGCAACCCCAGGCCAATATTCTACATGGTTTGCAGAGTAAGAGAAAAATGGGAGACGCGGCGTTAGCGGCGCAGTCGCGACGTGACACCTTTTTCTTGTTCGGCACTTGCGGCTGAGGGATGCAAGGTGCATATGTAGGTTAATATAAAGGATGTTAAATAAAACACGGTCCTAGCTGGAGAGGGAATAACGCGTCGTCTGCCGCGATGGTGGCGTGTGTGGCTGGTGCAGAGCCGGGGAAGTGATTCCGGTTGGTGTAGCGGGGGAGGGTAGTGTATGCGGTCAACGGAGCTGAAAGCTACTTCGGTGAACTGTGTCCAAGCATGGGTTAGCAGTTTCAAAGTGGCGCCTGTCGCTCAGACGGATCGGGGTGCTGTACAAAAACGTCCCGAGGATACGGCGTTTTCGATACTAGACCCTAGTCGTTTTGTGTGGTGGCTGGAACAGCGAAGCGACTTGGCGGCTAGCCTGAAATGCTGACCGCTTAAACTCCGGGCCAGCCATTGCAAGGCTACGCTAACGCCACTCCAGTAAAAAGTAAACATGTAGCATCGCATCATAAGGCGGCATATGAGTTTTGGTTTTTCTCTTAACGGACCCACTCATAGCACTCGCGAGTATCGTTTTCAAGCATTCCTATTAGACATTTGTAGCCATAATGTAATCACTAATAATGCAAACAAATATTGAAAGACCGCCACTCCTCCTAGAGAGGCAATGCCGAAGAGAGCCTGTATGTCCTGCTCGCACCACTCATAGACACCCACAGCGTCAGGGGATCGCTGCCTAGCTGCTCCCTGGTCGCGCCAGTCGAGTCTGCCACTGACCCTGGCACTGTGACTGGAACAGTTGCACCACACCTATTTCCGCCTGTCGTGAACACGCTCACAGACTCGATGCTTGCGCCATTAGTGGATGTCTTCCAGGTCATGCTAGGCCTGCAGAGATCGCGCGTCTGTCGGTTCAGGAATTGCTGAGCAATGTCGTCATGCTTAAGCGTCTTCATGGGCCATGTCGTCCTAGAGAGATGTGTCAGCATTGCTTGATCAAATTCGGCCATGATTTACGTACAAGCGTGTCATCTCACTGGTCACAACCTCAAGCCACGACATGAGTAGCGAGTATTGGCCAGACTTGCCATTGATAGTAGTGGTTGGCACGTCAGCAACGCGCATGTTAGCCTGGTGGAACATGTACCTGCGTGATGTCTCAGTAAACTTTCTTCAAGCGGACACGAGCGGAGAACTCACGGATCCCAGTGCAGCCCGAAAAGATTGCGCATCGCAGTATCCCGGGCATTGTTCAATAGATCGTTGAATGTACCAGCGCCAGCAGACGTATCAATCCATTCTTGGGTAGTGCAGGCCGGGAGATCACAGTTGTAGTAGATCAGAGTGGCCCAACGTGGCATGATGTTCAGACCAGCGTATCCATTGAGCGACGCCGTCGTGGCCAATGGCCAGAACGAGCTCTGGGTGTTGCGGAGACGTGGTCGGGTATTGTCGCCAACAACATTGGTAATACCATTGTCCATCCATGCCTTGATGGCGTCGGCATTGAACAGACCAGTGATGGCAGGTGGAATGAGACCCTTGGTACTCCATCGCTTAGCAGCATCGAGTCCGACTTGCTTTAGCCAGGCCCTGTTAAAGGAAATTTCTTTTGATGTGTCCGCATAGGTGGCATTAGTCAAGTCCATGTGTGAGCTAGCGTCTTGTCAGTGGCGGCCAGGGTCTTAGTAGCGGTTGTATACGTACAATGTGTGAGAAACATGGGCAAAAGCATCGCGGTTCGATGTCACAGCAAACCAGTTCTCAAGGGGATCAATCTGGGCACATTGAAGACTCCAGGTGTACGAAGTGGGTGTCGTAGGCCAAATGTTTACGCCGGTACCAGGGGGCTTGGAGTATTCTGGGCTGCCGTCAGGCTGATCAGAATATTCAATAGCCCGGGCAGGGTTGCAACGTGTCTGGCCTAGATCCGTGTACGCAGATGCTTCAATGTCACCGTTACCGTTGTGGCCAATCTCAATGAAGAACTCGGATCCCGCGGGCAGCCTTGCGTTGAGAGCAGCTTGCCATGTCACGTGGGTCGTGAGATCCTGTGGCGTGCAGCGGTAGTTTTGGCCTGCTGGACGGTACAAGCCTGTCTCCAGGAACATGTCGTCAACTTGTGCACTGAGATAGATTCTCCTGAAACCAAGGAAGAGGCCTCTGGTGATCCAAGTGATCCACGCGTGCTGCAGAATGTTGCTGGATGGGGCCCAATCTAGCGCAAATGGAAGAAACCATGCCATCTGCTGGCGTGCACCAATCTGGTTGATGACTGCAGCAGTTCCAGCATTGGAGAATTTAGCAAACTCCCATGCAATGGAAGAGTTTGTGATTGTGGCCGGAGTATGGTAGATGCTGGCAATGCTTATCGGCACACCCCTGTCATCATGGTTAGTCCTGCTTGTACCTCATGTTTCTGACTGTCAACGTTTGCCACCCGCACCGCTTGTGGAAGTTGAGCAGAGATCATCGCACATTGTGCCAATTGGAATCGAGGGTTTGTTTGCACTTACGTCTTGAGATTGGCTGAAGGGAAGCCACTTGTGTTGGTAAAGGTGACTGGTTGATCATCCAAGCTGCCACCAGTGCTAACAACACCAAATTCAGTGGTAGGAAAGACGTCCAAGCGGACCATCCTCACACCAAAGTTGGTCTGGTAAGCGTACAACTGGTTCCATTGGTCGGTTGTAAGTGCGCTTCGGTACGAGTTGTCGTAGTTGTAGCTGACTTCACCCACAACAACGATACCACCGTAGTTGCCATTTGTCGCAGAGGCATTGAGCAGGGGAAGATTGGTGATACCAGCCTGAGGAACAACTAGGGTCTCATAGGGTATGCCATAGCCCTGAAGACCAAGTGAGGCGCTGTTAAGCGCGGAAGTTGCATCGCGAGCGATGACCAAAACGGTGCTCGATACAGTTGCGCTTCCCACAAACGCCGACACTGGTTGCAGGACGAGGGAAAGGGAGGAGACTAAGCATGCTCGCAATAACGAGCGAGAATAGGACGACATGATTAAAAAAGAAGTGAAACAATGGATGCTTGAAGTGGCTGTTACTGAGGAATCTAGGCATATTAATAAAGAAGTCTCGGCAAATTTTATCCCATAGGTCACCTTGAGTATAACGGTCCAGATGCGGTAAATGATCAAGGGACTATTGATTTTCCATTTTTGTTTCCACCACATTGAAAGTTACGAATTGTAGTCGCATCTAGTCTCAGGCGTACCACGGCATTGAGTTCAGCTTGACGCCTCCAAAAATCGTGGAGGTCGTAAAACCGGGGAGTAGCTTGCTGACATTGAATGGGGCGTACTATTAACCCTTGGCCAGCACACTATTGCCAAATCCTCAGGTGATGCGGCTTGAGGAGAAAAGGCTGATGCCACGTGAAAATACCGTGCCGCCGCTGTGGATCGTGAAGAACAAGCACATTGTAGGATCACACTTTAATTCTCGGCTTGGATTCAACCAGGTCGCTGGGTACGTACCGGGGCAGTTTAGCAGAGCGAGATTGAAGAGATTGCTACTATGTGCTCGGGCTGTAGTTACAGTAGAGGACCGGGGTGTGGGCACATCCTGTGCGTAGGTGGGTGGAGGGAGCCGTATGTTGAGGAGATCCCTGGCCAGTGTCTACCTTAGTGGTGTGCCTGTTGTCCCAGCAGGCGCCTGGCTGCAGTCAGCCTGTGGTGGATCGGGCCAGGGTCAGGGCCAGGGCAAGAGCCTGTCGCATTGCCTTGCATGAGCGCCGAAGACAAGGCCGGAGCGAGTGCCGTATTAGATGAAGCCTGATATTAACGTCGTAGTGTGGAGGAGGTTAGGCTAAAATGCGTGCCGGGCGGGACGCTACAAGTGGAGGGCCAAATTTAGCGCGCACAGGCCAGGGTGAGGGAAACCCTGACATGCCAGCCTCGCCACGGCTACTCCTGTCCACCACTCTTACCACGTCGCCACCAAGATCCACTGTCGCCGAACCCAGGATCCCGCTTTGGTCGGGTTGCAGTCCCCCGTTCGTGTCCGGGATAGATGAATCTGGCCACTATAATCCCGCTAGTGCACTATGTCCATGCCTTTGCCTATGCCCCGGCCGAAAGGCTTCGTGTTCAGCAGGCCGCTCACTGTCATCTGTAGTGCCCGCCAAGCGCCGTGTTGCGATATTCTCGAAGGATGAGGGCGCCTTCTCTGACTGCTGCAGATCCTGCAGTGGACATTGCTTCGGCTAGCCACTGGCCATGGTTGCTAATGCACTGCCAGATCGACAGCTAACTAACACCTGACTGTACTCTAGCATACGAAGCACACTATGCACCTCTTGATCAGTTCTCAGCTGGCTTTCACCAGTCAATTGCCAGTCTTTGCCAGCCGTTCTTGTTGTGTCGTCGCCGTCGACTCGCCCTCGTTGTGACACCACTCCTCCATGCAGCGGGCTGTCGCCCTCTTGTTTTTTACTTGATAACCCACCTATGCCCAATGCCTATTGTCACCTGCCCAGCATAGAAAACTGTAAAGTCTGTTCAGATTACAACTGTCAGCATAGGCGCATGCCTTGTAGTCGGACCAGGTCCACGCCGTCGCAACTATGGCAAAGCCCGACGTTCTAGGTATCGAAGCCTTCAAGGATGGCACGCGAATCCGGGACTGGTGGGATTGGACTCTCATTGCCATCATTGCTGCTAGCGGATTTGTCGGCCTTGTCGCTCTCGTTTGGTCTACTTATCGTTCTCTTCGAAAAGTGCTCAAGGTAAGAAAAGTTGCTGCATCGACATGCGCCCAAACTGACAAATCCTGCAGGAAGATAAAGACGAAACTGCCTTGCCACGGTCTGTACAAGAGCGCATTCATCTCCTGTCAAACAGCTCAAGCGTCATTCGCGTTACGCACACGCTCCCCGCCAAACCATCATCTTTTGGCGTCTACCTTGGCGCATTGCAAACCCCAGTCGCTCCAGAGGAGGCGCAGGTCCTCTCGCAATGGGAAGCGCTCGTCTTGGATTACCGACAGACTGGTGTTCTAGAGGCCGTCAGTAATG